CGCTCGCGCAGCGTTGTGCTTCCGTTGTTTGGAACGGGGGTACGTACGCGAGCGGTGCACGAGCGCCGTCGACCGCAACGGTATGTGCTACTGCTGTGGTAACCCCGGCCACCGCGCCAAAGGGTGCCAAGAGGCGGTGCGGTGCCCGGTGTGCGCCGAGGCAGGCAGGCCATCCGGTCATAAGATCGGAGGACCTGCCTGCAAACCCCCTCCCGGGAGGAAAAGTGGGGGGAAGAAGAAGGAAGGGAACAGTCAGAAGGAAGTCACCAGCGGGAGGGAGGCCCGAACCGCCATCGCCGGAGGACCGAGTTCGACCAACCAGGAGAAAGGGAGTCGACGGGCCTCCCCCCACAGAAGGAAGAGACGGCCGGAGTGACTCCAGCCCCCCCCCCCGGGCAGGTATCCCGGAGGAGGAAGTGGACGTCGTCTCCATGGACCTCATCGACCTAGGGTGGGAGCCGGAGATGGTTCACGAGCCAGAAACGCCTCAGCCTCAAAGGAAGAGAAAAGGAGTGGGAGAAGAAGCAGCCAACGACCCTGATGAGGACGGACAGGCGAGCAAGGTGAGAAGGGTGGAGCCCTTGGGCCCACTCTCATCGGAGGTAGAAAAAGGGGAGTTGGCGGGAGCGCTGCCCCCGACTACTCTACAGGTTGGCTCCCCCTCGTACCCCCCAGAGGAGGAGACCACGCAAGTAGGGACCCCCCACGTCTCCGCGGAGACACCCGCTTTGAGGGCCACCACGGTCGAAACCCCCTCCGGGGAGACCAAGACGGCGGAGCCGTCGGAAGTCTCCCAAGAGGAGGGGGTTGAAGTAGGCAGCCCGGAGGAAGCGTGAAAGGCTTAGCCTTCACGCTACTCCGGGCCCTACAGGCCAACCTCGGCCGCGGCGCCCGGGCTCAGGATCTCTGCTTGCAGAGAATGGCTGAGCTGGGCGCCGGGCTGGGGGTGGTCGCCGAGCCGTACTGGGTGCCGGTACCAGGTCCGAACTGGTTCGGCAGCCCGGACAGCTCGGCGGCCATGGTGGCGAACCCTGCGGCGGGGACCCCTCCCTGTACTTTTAGGGGGAACGGGTCCTCGTACGTGGTGGTCGATTGGGGGCCCATCACTGTGGTGGGGGTGTATCTCCCCTACCGCAGGAATAAGGCCGGTCTCGGGGAGCTCGCTCCAGTGAAGAGGATCCTCGACAGGATTGGGGAATTGGTACGTAGGTGCCATCCCCGACCTGTCGTGATTGCCGGGGACTTCAACGCCCACTCGAAAGGGTGGGGTTGCAGTCCTCGGCAAAGGGACCCTCGGGGCGAGTCAGTGATCGGCTGAGCAGCGGGGCTGGGCCTCCTGTTAATGAACAGGGGCTCAACTAGCACCTGTGTGCGGCCGAGAGGGAGTTCGGTCATAGATTTGACCTGGGCCACCCCCTCGGCCGCCGGGATGTTCCACGAATGGAGGGTGGAGGCGGAGGGCGAATCGCTGTCTGATCATAGACATATCGCGTGGGCCTTTCGCCTCCCCAAACCCGCACAGGTGCTGGCCCGCTGCCCAGGGGAGGGGAACTTTCCCCTCCCCAAAAGATGGGCTCTTAATCGACTAGATTCGGACAGGTTTCGGGCGGCCGTCCTTGCCGCCACCTGGCACCTAGATGTGGGGCCAGGTGAGTGGGACCCCAGCCCCGCGGATTGGACTGGGGAAATAGTGGGCATTGTGGCGTCGGCATGCGACGTCGCGATGCCCCAATCCCACCCCCGCCGGCGCCGGGCCATGTACTGGTGGACGGAGGAGTTGGAGGCCCTCCGAGACTCCTTCGTCCACGTCAGACGTGCGCACTATAGGGCCCGGCGACGAGGCGGGGACCCCGCAGGGACAAAAGAGGGCTACCTGAGAGGCAGGAAAGCCCTCAAGGTCGCCATCGTCGAGGCCAAGCGAGCGGCCTGGGAGCAGATCGTGAGCTCCCTGGATGACGATCCAGGGTAGGGGCGCCCATACAAAAGGGTCATGGGGAAGATCCGCCCATGGGCGCCCCCACCAACGGAGACATTAGACTGCCAGGCCCTCGAGGGGTTCCTGGATGCCCTCTTTCCGAGGGCAGAATGGGGCCCCCCATGATCCCGACCCCCCCGTTGGGGGAGGGTGATTGGGACGAGGGTCTGGCGGTGAGTCCAGAGGAGCTCACTGCGGCCAGGAAAAGGCTCGGCTCGGGGCCAAGGGGAAAGCCCTTGGCCCTGACGGAATTCCTGGCCGGGCCTGGGCCCTCGCCCTCGGCGAGGGAAACCTGTCTGAAGCCACACGCAGGGTTTTCAGCGGGTGTCTGAAGGAGGGGGTATTCCCCCCAGAGTGGAGGAGGGCCAGACTGGTCCTCCTCCCCAAGGAGGGCAAAGCACCCGGGAGTGCGTCGGCCTACAGGCCGATATGCCTGCTGGACGAGGGCAAGATGCTGGAGCGCATCATTGCCGACCGCCTCGTCCAGCACCTGTCCTCGAAGGGGCCGGACCTCCACGACCGCCAATACGGGTTCAGGCCCGGAAGGTCAACATTGGATGCTATCCAGTGCTTCCGGGACCAGACCCGGGCGGTCGTGGAGGAGGAGGGCGGGGTGTTGTTGTCAGTGTCGTTAGATATAACGAACGCCTTCAACACCCTGCCCTGGCATGAGATTGGACGGGCCCTCGAACACCACGGGGTGCCCGTCTATCTCTGGCGAATCTTATCGGCCTACTTCGGGGGCAGGGACCTCGCCTTCCCGGTGGAGGGCGGGGTCCAAGGCCGGCGCGCTATGGAGCGCGGTATTCCGCAGGGGTCGGTTCTCGACGCCCTGCTATGGAACATCGCGTTCGACCGGGTGCTGCGCACTACGCTTCCCCTCGGTTGCCACGTCGTCTACTACGCAGACGACACGTTAGTGGTAGCCGGGGGGAGAGCTGGGGGGGAGCCCGCCTCCGCGCGGAGACGGCATTGGTGTCAGTGGTGAGTACCATCAGAGACCTGGGTCTCAAGGTGGCGTCCAATAAGACCCAGGCCGTGTATTTTTACGGCAGGGGTCGAAGGGCGCCGCTGGGGACCCAGGTGCTCGTAGATGGAGTTCACGTCCGCGTCGGGCCGACGATGAGGTATCTCGGCCTGACGCTGGACAGCCGGTGGAGCTTCGGACCCCACTTTGGGGAACTGGCCCCCAGGGTGCACAAGGCAGGACTGGCGGTGGTCTGCCTGACGCACAACCAAGGGGGCCCAGAATGGAGAGCCCGCCGCCTGTACGTCGCGGCGGTGCTCTCGATCGCCCTGTACGGGGCGCCCGTATGGACGCCACAGCTAGGGGCCTGCCGCGGCGGCAATCGCGCACTGCGGCAGGCCCTGCGGCCCGTGCTAATCAGGGCGGTTCGGGGGTACCGGACCGTGTCGTACATGGCGGCGACCACCCTGGCCGGCGTCCCCCCTATGGAGCTACTCGCAGAGGAGCGTCACCTCCTATATTGGAAAGTGAAGAAGCTCCGCAGGGAGGGAATAGTGTCGGTCAGGGCCCTGAGGGGTCTAAGGCTCCAGGCCGAGGCCCGGACCCGGGAGAGATGGGCGGACCTATTGTCCGACCCCCGGGGTCCCGGGCCAGCGACGGCCGCGGCTGTCCGCCCCTGCCTATCCGAGTTGACAGGCAGGAGGGGACGTGGACTATCCTTCCGTCTGACGCAGGTGCTGACCGGGCACGAGTGCTTCGGTCGGTACCTGCTCCGGATAAGGAAGGAGCTCACCACTCGATGCCACCACTGCCCCGCGGCGGAGGACACGGCGCACCACATCCTGGTCGCGTGCCCAGCATGGGCCGGGGAGCGCCGTGTCCTCTGCGGGGTGGTGGGATGCCGAGAGGGGGAGCTCTCGCTCCCGCACATGGTCAAAGCCATGTGTGGGAGCGAGGAGGCGTGGACAGCGGCGGTCTCCTTCTGTGAGACAGTAATGTCCCAGAAGGAGACCGCCGAGTGGGGGCGAAGACTGTACCAGGGCTGCGGGGAGCAGCACCCGGGCGGACAACGCCCCCAGGGGACGAGGGACACGACAGCGGGCCCGGGGCAGCGCCGGCCCGAGGGGGGCTCACAGACCCGCGATGGTCGGGAGACCCGTCGGCCGCCCCGGGCCCGCCACCGGTCGTAAGGGGGTAGTAGGGGGTGGTAGGGGGCGGCGAGACGCCTTCCCTACCTTCCCCCCGAGCGACCGGACAAGTAGGGACAGGGGGGAGCAGTGCCCCGGTTGGGGCCGGGCCCGCTTCCCTACAAATCCTCCCCTCCCTGACTAGCAAGGAGGGGGTAAGGAGGGGGTGGATGTCCTCTCCTTCCTTGACAGGAGACAGGAGAAGGCTAATCGGCGGGGGGTAACCCTCGTCGGGGACCGCGCCCTGGATTCCCTTCGTGGAACAGGGCGCGGCACACAGGTGGCAAGGGGCTCCCGGAAGGGAGTCCTGGGGCCGGGGGGTTGGGGAGGGAATATGGGAGTAGTTCCCCCGACTCCCCTCCTCACGGTCCGACAGGTAGACATCCCGCAGGGGTTTTAGTCGGTTCGACATAACCCCCTCCCCCCCAAGGGGAGGGAGTATCCATGATGGATTTCCCCTGCGTGACCAAAAAAAAAAGAATAAGGGGAAGAAGATATTGCCGGAGAGTCAGGCGGGGTTTAGGAGGGGAAGGGGGGCAGTGGACAACATATATGTATTGAATTATTTAATAAACAGGCAAGTGGTGAGGAGGGTCAGGAGGATGGTAGTACTGTTCGTGGATCTAAAGGCAGCGTTTGACTCGGTGAATAGGGAGGTGTTGGGTAAAATGATAAGAGAAAGGGGAGTAAGGGAAGGACTGGTCAGAAGGTGTGAGGAAGTATTAGGGGAGACGAGAAGCAGAATGAGAATAGGGGGGAGAGAAGGAAGAAGGTTCTGGACGGGTAGGGGGGTAAGACAAGGGTGTCCATTGAGTCCGCTATTATTTATATTACTAATAGCAGACATAGATGAAGAGTTAAAGAGAAGGGGATGGGGGATGTAAGGCTGGGGGAGGGGAGAGTGTACACGTTGGCATACGCAGATGACGTAGCGATATTGGCGGAAGATGAGGAGGGGATGAAGGGAATGATGGCAAGGCTGGAAAAGTATTTTGAAGGGAAGGGGTTGGAAGTTAACAGAGAAAAGACGAAGGTAATGAGGTGTAGGAAGAATGGAGGGAGATGTAAGGAGATGGACTGGAGATGGAAAGGGAAGAGAGTGGAGGAGGTGAAGGAATATAAATATTTAGGTTATGTGGTGAGGAGGAGTGGAGGGCAGGATGCACAGTTGAGGGATAGGATGAAGAAGGCAGCAAAGGTGATGGGACAGGTTTGAGGAATGGGGAAAAGGAGATTTGAAAAGGACTGGGGGAAGAGGATGTGGCTGTTTTATAAACTGGTGTGACCGGTGGTAAGTTATGGGGTGGAGATTTGGGGATGAAGAGAGAGAAGAAAAATAGAGGAATTGCATGAGAGATATCTGAGATGGGTACTGGGGGTGGAGAGGCACTGGGATATATGGTGAGGGAGGAGATGCAGAGGGATCGAATGAGGTGCAGAGCGGGAATGAGAGCGTGGGGGTATGAGATGAGGTTGGGAGAGGGAGGGGGCGGGGAGATAGCAAGAATGTGTAGGTGAGAGATGAGGGGAAGGGCGAGAAGAGGAAAAGAAGTAGGAAGATGGGAGGAGGAGAGGAAAAGGTTTTTGAGGACAGAGGGTGGAAAATAGATAAGATAGAAGAGATAAGGGAGGAAGGGGGGAGATAAAGGGAGAAGAACTAAAAAGCAGGGAAAGGAGAAGACAGGAGGAGGAAAGATGAGAAAGGATAAAGGAGTCAAGGTTTAATGAGGGATATGGAAGGGTAAAGGGAAGGGGAATACCAGAGTATCTAAAGAGGGGTTGGGGGAAGAGTAGATGGAAGAGAATAGCGAGGTTCAGGCTGGGGTGTGAATTGAAGGGAAGTAGATACTGGGAGGAAGAGGAAAAAAGGAGATGCAGGATGTGTGGGAGAGGAGAGGAGACGTGGAAGCCCATATGGGAGGAGTGTACGAGGTGGGGGGAAGAGAAGGGATGGCAGGAAATGGAGAGGGAGGTTCTGGGGAGGAGGGAAGGGGGAAGGGTGGATGAGGGAGGTAGAGAAGTGTTGGAGAGGGGAGGGAGGCGTGGGGGATGAAGGAGGAGATAGAAAGAGCGGCGGAAACGGAGGTCAGGGTGTGAAAGGAGAAGAATGGAGAGTGAGAGAGAGGGAGAGAATGGAAGAGTGGAAGAATGAGAGTGGGTATGAGGAGCGCTCTCTCTCTCTCTCTCTCGCGCGTGCGGGTCGTATGCGAATAGTTTGTAAGGTAGAATAGGAGAATAGAGTGTAAAAGATAGGAGGAAGGGAAAATTGTAACCTCAAGGGGAACAATAAAGCTATATAAAAAATATATAATATATTTATATTATAAAGATATTTAGCCATTATTTAGTTATTTTTTTGATTTCTAATTTTTCCTGCCTCCTATTTTCTTTTTCAGTGCTATTTCTTCTAGTTTTTTCTCTTGCTAACTGTTTCTTCTTTTTTCTTTTTCTTAATTCTCGCTGTTTTTGTCTTTATTTTCTTCTTTTTTTATAAGATATTGCAGCCTTTCTTGAGAAGTGACCACCATGAAAGAAGGAGGGCGCACTAGATGGCGACGGGACGCCGTGCGTTCGGGACCTGCATCTTATTTTCGTTCCGAAGAGAGAAAAATATTGAGAGCGCGGTAGTCGCTAGACCGGGAATCGAACCCGGGTTTTTCGCTTACCGGACGACTGCTCTAAACCACTGAGCTACCTGACGCTCCACGCTCATGACACTCTCCTCTCCCTAGATAACGTTGAGAGATGTCGTTCGGAAACGACATCTCTAGTGCTATCCCGAGCGCACGGCGACTACAGAGAGAGGCATTGTTACTTGTACCTAGTGGTACAAGTAACAATGCTTGTACCTAGTGGTACAAGCTGGTGGTCTCTCAAAGTCAAAGGTTGCTATCCTCTAAGATATGCTGTCTATGTATGCCAGCCTCCACCGTTGCCCCTTCTTATCCGGTGCAAATCACCGTAGGGGTTTTTTCTTTACATTTTTCTTTATAGGTGGACATTTTGGTCAAAATAATTTATTGTGAAAGGGTGATAGAATTTCTTTTCTTACTGCACCTATTGTGTCTTCAAAGTTTCGTATATAACATATACCAATTGGTATTATTACTTATATTATAAAAATATATCAATTTCTACGTTTTTTTAAATTAATTTTTCTCAAAAAGCGGCATGTTAAAAAAACCTCGACTTTCCCAACATTTTTCTTTATTCAAGAGGCCTTAAAAAATAATAATTTTTAAAATAAAAAAAAACGGCTACGCTTAACGAAAATTACATTTATGCAGATTAAGAAAATATTTAAGTTTTTGTCAGATGAACCATGCCAGAGATATCGATTCCACCGTTGGAAGAACTTTTTACGGACCGGCACTCGATCGATTTATTGACTTCCCTTGGGGTTACAATTCCTCACCTCTCACTATTATTTACATGCTACTCTCTTAATTCTACTCTCTTACATACCACCCGCGAGAGAAAGAGAGAGAGAGAGAGAGAAAGAGAGAGAGAGAGAGAGAGAGAACGCTCCGCACACACATACCACACTCCTCCACTCTTCCATTCTCTCTCTCTCTCTCTCTCTCTCTCTCTCTTTCTTCATTCCTCTCCTTCCATACCTTGACTTCCGTTTCCGCCGCTCCTTCTAACTCATCCTCCCTCTCCATCGCCTCCCTCACCCCCACACAAATTCTCCACCTCCCTCATCTATCCCTCTCCCTTTTCCTCCTCTTCCAAAACGGGATCAACTGATCTTAGGAGGTAGGGCGGCACTTAAACCCTTTCTTCCTATCCCACCTCCCTTCATATCGGAGGTAGGATTTTAGGAGAATGGGGCCCGTCACTTCACCAGGCTTGTCCATTCCCCCTTTTCCCCCTGCTGTTACCACAGGGGGTCTAATCGTTTGCAGGCTGTCTACTACTGACCGTCCACTGGAGAGGAGTTAACCTGCCCTCTCCCCAGCCACAGACAGCTGCAATGATCCTCCGGCGTCAGACTCCGATCAGTCCTTCACCCATCGCTCAACCCCGGAGCAGGACCACCGCCACACGTACACCTGCGCCTACGGCCGTGCAGGCTCGCTGCTCGCTTACCCGCAACAGCCGACCATCGCAGGCCCTATGCACCGAGGTATCCCCCGCTCAAAGGGAGCGACCCTGGGAGGGCCGATCTTCTGCCACTCCGCCAGGTAGCGCAGCTTCACCGCGCTCCACCATCGCTACAGTTACCAGCCCAGCAGCCATCCCGCACAGCTCTTCAGCTAGATCGACCTCTTGCTCCTTTGCCTCCGAACCCGTGGGTCAGCCGTCCGGGCCGGCCCAGCACTTCCGAGCAACCATCCCATCCTGTCCTCCGGTGAGAGCGATCCCTCTCTCACTCAATCACCATCGTGCTCCCTGGATCAGCCACCGGGCAGCCAGCTACCGTGGCTTGTCCCCAAAATGCTGGCTGGTGCGCATCAGAGTTGCCCCCAACAGCGCCCGATCCAGCATCAGGAGACTCATTTCCTCGGAAGGACTAGTCATTCAGGACTCCCATTCCTTCAGGGCTTAGCCAACAGTTACACTGTTCAGCTAACCTCCCATCCTGAATGAAGATCCATCCCCAGCCCCTTCAGGAAACATTCCCTCATTATACATTCATCCATTCCTTTATTCATTCATTCCCGTTTCTCTCCCACTCATTCACTACACTCATTCACCTCATCCACTCATCATTCACCCTCTCAACCCCCACTCTTCTCTCCCACTCATTCACTACACTCATTCACACATTCACTCATCATTCACCCTCTCTGCCCCACTCCCCCCACCCACCACACCCCTTTCACACCCCCACTCACTCCCTCACACTCTTACTCACTCTCTCCCTCCCACTCACACTCTCACTCATTCATCCTTTCATCCCTCCATCAGATAGCTACCTATCCTTTCACCACTCACTCCATATTCTCCCTCTCACATTCACACTCTCATTTTCACTCTCATTCACTGGACGTCCATCAATATCCTTCCTCCCGGTGAGTCCGCCCCATCTCCGAAGGCACCCTCACCCTACTACCAAGCGGGCCTTAGATGAGTCCCAAGACTCTAGATGAGGCGCCAAAGGGCATCTTCCGCTAACATCGATATCTGACTTCTGCAGAACGCAGCAAGCATGGAAGCACCCGTAAGCACCCAGGACACCCCCCCCCCAATACCAGGATGAGGACCCTGAAAAGCAGAGCACCCCCCCCCGGGATTATTTGCCTCCGGGTTATTCTTATATAGAGGAATTAAACCACACAGGAACCACCCAAGGACTTCACACTACACTCATGGTCGGCAACCTCACTAGGCTAACGAGTCCGACCCCCGGGTTTTATTGGGTTTTTCCTTCCCCCGTTCGGATGTTCAGTACAACCCCCGAACTAACGAGTCCGATCACCCGGGTTTTTACATTGGGATTTCCTTCCCCTCGTTGGGTGTCTGTTGCCAGACTAATGAATCCCATCATCCGGGTTTATTATTCAGGGTTCTTCCTTCCCTTAGCTTCGGATGCCTGACCTATCAAGCTCACGAGTCCGAGCACCCGCCTTTTGCCCCGTACCACAGCAGCACCCCCCCCACCGGGGAACGAATCTCCATTTCAATAGTCTGTGCGGCTTCGTAGTAACTGTGCAGTTCAGAATGGGGAGTGCTCCCGTCGCCGGGGAACATTCCATCCCCCGACAGAGGGTTTACCCCGTAGTCGGATCGGCTCAGGTTGTCAGTGGGTACACTTGCCACTATTCCGGTGGCCTGGGAAACCAGACCTACGAGCCCGGACTCCCGGTTTCTTCTCGGAGTACTCTCTCCGGGTTTTTCTGTTGAGTTTTCCTTCCTCTCGTTCGGGTGTCCGGTGCCACCTGACTAACGAGCCCAATCGCCCGGGTTTCTTATCGGAGTTCCTTCTCCTGATAATTATGCCGACGCGGTTTCCAGGGTCCGGCAAGGAGTCCCCAACCTCCCTCCAGCTAGACAGCTCCGAAGCTCCCCGCAGGTCGCCCTTTGAGTACCCCGGCTATCAAGCCCACCCCGGTCGCAACTCCAGCAGGTACACATCCCCGCCAAAGCGTCCAACCAAGGCGGGTCCGGCTAGGGCTTCCCGCCGGGGTTCCGCGGTCATGCCTCAGAGCCACCACCACCTGATCCATACGCTCACTCACAACCAGCCTTCACTTGGCTGCCCCACTGGAC